CTTGTCATTGCGTGAAATTGGCGAGACTGGTTAGTTGAAAAACTGGGGTCAGAACCAAGGTGAAGTGTAGAACCCAACTGTTTTTCTTTTTTTTTTTTTTTTGGGGGGGGGGGGGGGGCGGTCGTTTCTTCGTTATTTTGCATTTCTGAAGACGTGTTTCTTGTAAGCTTTTACATAACTACACATTCACTACTGACTATCAAAGTGAAGGTACCACATTTTCATAGCAAACATGCCTTCTATAATACAACTCTTTCTATGCAACTTCCACACGGTACATTCTTCAATAATTCGTCACTAAACACAGCTAATACACTTCTCTGTTTGTGTATAAATATGTACAAGCTAAACTCCTGAACTCATTGATCTGGGTGCAAATAAATCATCTTTCCGGCTGCATCAAATCCAATAGCTCTATCCAATTTCCTATCTCTTCTAGATGCACCATAACGATGACCAAACTCGCCAACATTCTTCATTGTAAATCTAAAGAGTTTATTTTCATCCTTTCTCTTTTTACCATACACAACATCGATTTTTTTATCTTCAATTGCTTGTTGCTGCTTCTGTGCTTCTTCCAAATTAAACTCAGTCAACTTCTTCAAAGTGTTTGAGGCTGGCTCGAGGTGTAGTATCTTGGCTGCATCTACTGGTCCAAAAGGTTCATTCTCTTCAATAGTCAAAAATCTATCAGTCAATGTCTTGTGTGGGGTTGGAATTTCCGTTAAATTATCAGCAGTATAGCCACCTTTGAACAAGGGGAACATGCGTTTCATAATGGCTGCAAACGATTTCAAATCCTCGGCAATCTCTTCCTAAATACATAGCTTGTGTTAGTAAAGACGTCCAACTTCTCAAGACACACAAACACACACAAACACACACATGTACTGCTCCACCACGATACAACTTTTTCAGATCCGTTTTGTATTTTCAGGGCTTGAATTTATAACCATGTGGTTTATGTCTTAAAGACTAATCGAATAAATAAAATGCAATATCATCATAATACATGAATCGAAGGAAACGAAAAGTTAAAATATCAGCAGTGTTGTGTCTGTGGTGTAGACTTTTCTTGTCTTGTCTTGGGTTGTACTGTATTGTGTATTAACATACCTTTGGTTGAAAATTCTTTTCAATTGCACTGAGCTTTAATATAGCTTCTACTCTTTGTAAATTTATACCATATTTATGGGCTATCTCTTGTGGATGTAACCCGTTGACCTGTTCATCTTCGACGATTTGCAGTTTCAAATGTTCAGGTATCAAGTATGCTGTTTTAGTGTAAACGTTGTGAGGAAACGGATGCAAATGAGGATCCCTTCCTGGTTCGTCAAGATTTCTCATTCTCGATTGACCCAACTTGGGACTTTCGCCAACCACAGATTTTCCATCATTAACAATATAGTTTGGTTTATTGTTCTGCGGTGGATAGTAGTACTTGTTTTTATGATATTCACCAGTTATACTTTTAGGACCAAGAAATTGTCGAAACTCTTTGAGTAGCTTTGTCTTGTCCATCAATTCCTTCCTGCTGATCCTCCTCATCACCAGACTAGAAGTGGAAAACTGTCTCATTTTACAGCAATTGGTGAACCCTGTCCAACTCATGTTTCACCTCAGATCAACGTTGGAGACTAAAGATGGAATAAACGAAGGTTTCCAGCAATGAGAAAAATTTTCAAAGCAGTGTCGTCAAAATAGTAATCTTGCGACAATGCATTACATTCCACGACACACAAACACACAAACACACAAGCACACAAACACACAAACTCTCTCTCTCTCTTTCTCTCTCTTTTTCTCTCTCTATGGTTTCAAAATTGTAAACGTATAATAGCAAAAGACACAACAGACGGCTGCTTTATATTAAGATCCCAGTGGTATTTCAACGAACCACAACTGTTTCACCACCATTACTTTTACTTGTACATAAACAACTCAAGGCATGTCACTGGATATTCTAGCGGAATCTATACTCCAACACAATCCAACAACGCTTTTAAACTCACAACAACATTCGGACGCGTCCTCCTCTTCGTTTGCTACCACTGCAACAGCTGCTACTACCACTACCAAAGCAGTTCGTCAGCAACTGGTGACTATTTCCGCAAACAGAGCACATACCTTTCTGGTATCCACTGTTGGATCAAAGCATACCAGCCCCAATGAAGATTCTGATGACCCCTTTAAGGATAAGTCACAACAGCAACACAACTCCACTTCGAAAATTGTCAGTCAAAAGGGGAAACACAATTTTCTGCATCATAACAAGTCTTTTCTCAAAAATCAAAATTTGTTAAACTCATCTGGAGTCAGATCTCAAGAAGCTCATACATCGCAATCGCAATTTCATCTAGGCTCATTGCCCGGTCAACACTCACATTCACATTCACATTCACATGCACATGCACACCACCCACAACAACATCAGCATCAACATCAGCATCAACATCAGCAACACCATGCCGTGTCTACATCGCAACCACTGCGACCACCCGCCCCTTTCAAAGAAAAGACCAACGTGGCGGAGTATCAACACGAAATGAACGAAAACGGGGACGAGGACGAGGACGAGGTGTCGCTCGAAGTTCTTGAGGATATGCATAAGCTTGAACAGCACTTTCCCGTATTGGCCACTGATTATAGATTAATTGACAAAATCGGTGAAGGAACATTTTCCACCGTGTACAAGGCAGAAGCAATCAATGGGAAAATTAAGCTCAATAGTGATGTTTGGAAATCGCCTCCATTGAAGAAACAAAAGACTGCTTCAGGAGACAATTCCTCAATGCAGGTAATGATCCAAAAGAAGAAAAAGAAGAACCCCATTGTTGCGTTGAAACAAATTTACGTCACATCTTCCCCCAATAGAATATTCAATGAGTTGAATCTACTCTATATGCTCACCGGTAACTCCAGAGTTGCACCATTATTGGATGTCTTGCGCCATCAAGATCAAATCTTGGCTATTTTGCCTTACTACCATCATTATGATTTTCGTGATTTTTTTCGTGACTTGCCTGTAAAGGGAATCAAGAAGTACTTGTGGGAACTTTTCCAAGCTTTGGAATATGTTCATAGCAAAGGCATAATTCATCGTGACTTGAAACCCACTAATTTCTTGTACGATCCATTCAAAGGACGTGGTGTATTGGTTGACTTTGGATTAGCTGAGAAACAAGTAACCACTTACCACCACTCTTTATCATCCAGCTCCAATTCATCCACCTCATCTAGTGGTTGTCCTTGTTTGTCAAGGGAAACTCTTGTCCCCACCAACAAGTCATTATCCAAGAGAATGTATGTCAAAGGTGCATATCCTAAATCTGACAATCGACCACCCAGAAGGGCTAATCGAGCAGGAACAAGGGGGTTTAGAGCCCCGGAAGTTTTATTCAAATGCACAAATCAAACTACTCAAATTGACGTTTGGTCAGCGGGAATCATTGGATTTTCATTATTAACACGCAAATTCCCCCTTTTCAATTCACCGGATGATACCGATGCCATTTTAGAGTTGGCATGGATATTTGGTTACGATAAGTTGGTCAAATGTGCAGAGTTGCATGGATGTGGGTTGGAGATCTCCATTGGTCAATTGCACAAGTCTAATGGTAATCTAATCAAGATATTGTACGACTTTTTGAAAACCGAAGTTGATAACGATAGTGTTCCTGAGGATAGTGTCCTTTACGAGACTTTGAACTTGTTCAACTCAACTGGAGATAAATTCGTGAGACCCACTTTTGTTGAAGACCCCAACATGTCACAAGATGAACGGAATATCATGGTTGATGAGTTTAGAAAAGAAATGGAAGATTATAAGGATCACAAGTATTTGATGGAGTTGTTATACTCGTGTTTCAAATTGGATCCCACTAAACGATTGACTGCAAAGGAAATTCTTGAATTGCCGTTTTTCCACGAATTGTCACCATTGGACAAAGATGATGATGTCGTATTTTAGGACGGAAGTGCTCGAGTGTCTTGCTAGTAATCGTGAATATTAAAGGTAGATATTTGCTTATATGTCTCGAATTGAACATATATATATATATATATATATATCTGTACATCACTTTTAATACGAAAATCGCAACAAAAGAGGAAAATAACGTTTCATATGTAGTGTCTACTTTGAAGATATTTTATCGTAAATGGTCGTAATTGTAATCGTCAAAACCGTCGTCCTCATCGTCATCAACCTCAAATGAATCGCGTCGTGATCGCTTTCTCAGATTGCGTGCCAAATGCAACACACTAGAGCTATTGCCCGAATTCAAATCTGGCAGCCCGTGTGTATTCAACTCAGGGCCAGTACTGGCGTTGGCAATAGCTCCTACAGCTTGGTCCACCTTGTTGTTCTCCTCAGAATTGTTGTTGCCACCATTTCCATCACCTGAATGGCCCTCGATAGTTGTGTTACTTGCATTATTAATCATTGATTTGTTCCACTTCTGGTTCAACTTTGTGATCAAATCATTCTGTTCCTTGACCGATTGCATAGCTCGCAATGGCGTCATAGGGGCAGAAGAAAGTGTCTTGGGTGAGTCATGGTCATTCAGAGACACCATGAAGTCCAGCTTTGAAAGAGAACTCGTGCTGGATCCTACATCCAAATCAGCCGCCTCGTTTACCCTCATGTCCCCACTTGCGCCCGCACTCGTGGGTAAGTTTTTAGCTCTTTCAGTCTCATTGAGCGACGACGATAACCTTCTTCTTGATGGTGCCATCACATTCGAAGACGGAGGTAGATGGGCAAAAAACTTGGCTTCCGATAAAGCGGCACTCAACGGCGGGGACATTGTAATCAAATGTGAATGTAATGCTCCTTTAGAGCCACAACAGCCAGACTCGCTTGTGTTGGTTAAATCGGATGCATTATTGAATTCAATTTGTAAATCTTTGGAAAATGCCAACTTCTTTTTCAAATAAAGTGACTGTTGGATCAAGCTTGTAGATTTCAACTTCTTGACTGGACCCAGAGATTGCATTGGGGAAATGGAGGTGGAAGAAATGCTCTTCATCTCTGGACTTTCCAAGTTTTTGCTCATCGTATCGTGATTCAAAGCCGGGCTGGTGAATGCAATGTGACTGTCATCTAACGGCGACTCCATATGCAAATGTTTCCCTCCGTAAATCAAACTTTCTGATGTAGGACTTGCTGTCAAACTATGGATATGCGCGTTTGAATTGTGGTACGATACGGGTGTCGTTGGTATTGTGGGTGGTGATACCGCCGCAGTTCCTGCAGAGTACGTTTCATGAAACTTGAATCTAAAATCGTTTTTCAAATGTTGCACCGATGTTTCGTCTTTGAAGCTACGCCTCTTTGGTCGATGCATTGGTTTTGCCATGCCTCTAGATGTCGGTCCCAGTGGGAACGAGCCATTTGTTGCTGTAGCTCCGAGCACGGGCGTCGACGGAATTGTCTTCAAACCATCACTTGATTGAGGAGTCCTACTGTTTGTCATCCTTGTGTCGTATTCTGACTCCTCATCGGTCAAAATAGCTGACCCCGAACAACCAGATCCTTGATTATTACCAGTAACACCATCACCGCTACTACTCCTATTGTCATGGCCAAGTCTCATTTTTGACACACTATTGCCTTGATCAAACCCATGATCTGTATGTCTGTGTAGCCCTCCACTAGAGGGATTGCCTGCTGGTGTCATTGTGAAAGTGTTTTGATTCACATGTCCGATTGACGCCAAACTTGCAGAGCTATCGTTTCGAGTGTGATATCGAAGGTTTTCATCAACCGAAACAATTGAATTACGGGCACTTCGTTCGAGACTCACTATTGACATACTTCTTGCCGAGTTAGGCGTGGGTGCAACATTCTGAATTGTATTGATATTTGCCGAGGATAGGGTAGGAGTTGAAGTGAGATCATTTTTGCTGTTGCTAGGTACCGTTGTTGCAGTTGTTGCCCCGACCGGCCCCACCTGTGTAGACGATCCAGTACCGGAGATCGAAGTGGGTGATATGGAGTTTGCATGAGTATTTGTCGATATCGAATGTTGCCTAGCTGATGGTTGTGCTTGTGATAATCCAAACTCATTGCTGTTGTCGTTATTGTTGGATGTTGTCGATGGTGACGCCGATGATGAGGCTAGCCCAGGAGATGCGCTATGTCTCAAGCACTGGTGTGGCTGTTGTTGTGTGTTCAAAGGCGGTAATGCATTATATGGCAGCAGATTTGTCGCTGTTTGGGCTGTTAAAGAATGGGGCAGAAGTATGTTGATTGGAACTGGCTGTGGTGTCGAATAAGATGAATGGTTGGAGTTGACAGAGTTCATGGATGAAGATCTTTGTCTTGTGTATGTGGATGACATCACCTACGATGAAAGGAGATGCACCCCTGGCTGTCTCTATATATAACTGGCACTCCTATCGTCCCTCCTGCAGGTTCAATAATAACTTAGTTCACCCCACAGTATCCACCTAATTTGAATGAGCCAAAAGGTTTGCACTAAAATTTTGTAACCCTTTATCAATTGTTCTGTTTGTTTGTGGACGTGATGATGAAAGATTGATTTTTTATTTTTTTTTTTTTTTTCGTTTAAATGATATTTTGCAGGAGAAGAAGGAACTCCAATACACAAGCTGTGATGTAAAAAGTGGTTTACCCGGTAGCTTGAGTCTGCAGGTGAAACTTCTACTGTTGAGTATGTCCGATAGTGAGTGTTGTTGAAAAGGGTTTTCTTTCTTTTACATTAGATGTTGCGTCCTATAGATAATAAATTTCTTGCGTATCATGTGTGGCTGTTCACTTCTTCTCTTTGTCACAAACTTTAAAAATCTATTTTTCCTCTTTCTTTCTGTCACAATTTTTACGACACTCCCATCTGCGACATTCATACACATATACATATATATATATATCTACAGTATGCACAACTTTTCCATTGCCATAATACATCACTGCTGTTTACTGACCAATTGGACATTTCCTCAAATACTCAGCTTTGTTTTTCAAGACCCTGACCGATTTGAAAAAGATTTCCTCTGGTGACATTGCCCCAGTTGATTCAACCTGGAAAATAAAGTAATCCCTTTGTCTACCCAACTTCACTTTATCTTGAAACTCCGGGTGTCTCAAAACTTCCCTCAGTACAGTATCCTTTCTAGCGTCAGCAACGTATGCTTCTCCAGTGGCGGAATCAATCTCAATCACACCAGATGGGAAACATTTTTGGAATTTCTTAGCCAAGTCGCCAGTTATTGGTTGTCTAATATCAATAACTGGCAATAACCTGTACGATGCCGTTGCCACTGGAGAAAATTTGGCGTGATCTGAGCCGATCCCCAATATACAATGAGCTCTTAGAGATATCTCCTGACCCGGTCTTAGTTTTGCCAACAAAATGTTTGGATCGGTGGGCACAACAGGGTTATCTTTATACTTTTCCAATTGACTACCTTGTGGTTCAAACTTCAAATCTTTAGCATAAACATTGCTATTTCGATACAACTCATTTGGATTAGTAGAGTTCTTTGGTGCATGAGGGTTCTTTGTGCATGTAACATCCAAGGACAATACTATTGTGTTGTCTTCAGTGTAACGTTCGTTCTCATCAACACTCTTGTCAACCCACGTCAACGAATCGGGATCTACTTTCAATGGGATCAATCCGATTCTATGTGCCAATACCTCGTCTTGTATAACTGATGTATTCATAAAGGAGTATACTGTCTCAACTGCCACTGAGGGAACTTCGGCAATCATTATACGACGGAATGCATTAGCGATGGATGTGTCAATGTGGATCAAGTCAAAATTGGCGACTCTTTCGCTAACATTTGTGATTTTAATATCAAATGAGTTTTTGAATTTTTCAATATCCCAAGAAAAGTCACCAGAGGATTGATGCCCTGGAAAATCGGTGGACGATGTGTTTGTGACTCTATTGTACTCTATCCCCACTATGTTATTATCAGACATTCTTACGAACTGTGGGTGTGGATGTGGGTGTGGGTGGATGGATGGATGGATGGACGATGCGATGATCTAGATGTTTGTCTCCTAGTGTGCAGATGTTGTAATTTTTTAATTTTTTTCTGTGCGAGGGATGAGGGTGGAGTGCTACCAAATAGGTTGGAGATTACAAAGACAACAAAGGTAGCGCATTTTACACCTGACTCAACACTGTGAATTTAAAGTTCTTTTTTAACCTCCTCCTACTCTCCTACTCTCCTACTCTATTGTATGAACAAGCTATACCAAGCTAGACACTCTGGGGAATGCACCCGGTAAAGTCGAAGAAGATGTTGACAACCCGCTAGTTTCTCCTGCGTTTTGTATATTCACCTTAATCTTCATCATCTTTTTGATTCCATCAAGTAAATCGATCGTGAGTAGCTCAACATTCCCATTGTACCCATCACCTTCAATACGAGCCTTATCTACCACCTCGTCATCATTTTCGAGGTGTCTACCGCTTAGTAGTTCCCTCAATGGTATGTCGTCCCCGCCATCGTGCTGCACTTGTAAACGGTTTCCATCTGTTCTAGACTCGGTCACATCTCTTGAACTCAATCCACTAGCTACTTGTCCTTCAGCTATAATCTCTTGTTGTTCTCCTTCTTGCTCCCCCTCCCCCTCTTCCTCTTCGAATACCTCTTCATTACCAAGAACACCATGCAAATACAAGAGAATCAACTGTGCTCCAAACACAATCAAATCCAAACCCATCAACTCCAACCTGCCACATGGCACCCTCTCCCCCATAAACTGAACTGTCAACCCACCATACAAAAATCCAACAGTTTCTTCTCCACTGCGACCACTACTTCCAGGACTCTTTGAATACACACCAAAAATCAAATGCGTCAAAAAGCAATAACAATTGATGGCCAAAACACCACGAAAACTCATCTTAATCATAGTTTTGACATGATGTGTGGAAAAGGAGTAATATCGACTAACGTAATCAGGGTTGATGTTCAAAATGGAGAAATGCATCGCACTTCGTAGAAATAATCTGAAAAATGACAAATCTCGTAGATAAATAATGACAATTAGGACAATTTCAATCAACTGGAAAGATTGTTTGAGATCGGTTGTGAAAAATTTCTTGCGTTTGGATAGTACTTGACGGTTATTACTTATGGTTTGTTCCAAAGTGGGACATTTTTGATTCTGAAAGTTTTGTAGCTCGTGTTCGAGGCTTATGGGATGCATTTTTTGATTTGTTTTTTTATTTTTTTTTGAAATAATGGAAATGTGCGAGGCTATATGAGTGGTTACTGCATTAATTATGGGTGATATAGGCAGTCAAAAGAGTGTATAGTTAATTGGGTGACGCTGATTGAGTTTGTAATGTGCACTTTGTTCTCTTTTTGTATTTTTGCCAGTGGGCATGTGTCTATTAAGCGAGAACAAAAATATTCTCCCACTTTTATGAGCGGTGATTAATTCTTTGATATTGGTTCTATGGCTCTATTTACATCACAAGATACAACACGTCTATTTAGCATCTCCACAGTTCCTTCACGATCCATTACTTCGTTTATGAATTATCAATGGGGCTTCGGTGGGATAAATTTCACTCAAAGTTTCCTGTTCTTGAGCTAGCAATGAAGGAGACGATGTTCCTTGTGTATGTGGCGGATGCAACTCGTGCAAATCAACATTATAAAGTTCCAAAATCTTTCGAATATCTTGTTCATCTTTATTTGCAGTAAAAGCACCAGTGCTTGTATTGTCCATTCCACTGTTCTGAGTAATTTCGTGGGCATCTCCGTCGTATTCATCGATGTCTTTGTCCTCTTCGTCGCTACTGTCCATGAAATCTCCCAAATTCTCAAATGTTACTGCCTTGACAGTTTTGCTTCCCTTTGCACTCCGATCAATCAATTGCAATTCATTCTCCACCAACTTTTCCATTTCTTCATTCTTGAAACAATTCAATCTTGCTAATCGTTCTCCATGAGTTTCAAGACACTCAGCCGGCACAAATCCAATCTTGCCATCCTCTCTATCCAGATCAATGTCAATCGTTGCATTATTAGTCTCTTGATACCTTGCTATTTTCTCATCCTTAGTCAATTTCTTGATCAACCACCAATAATTGTCATCGTCGTTTAGTAAATGCACCGGTTCATCGCGCGTTAGAGAACAATGCGATGGATCCGGTCCTGAAAAGTCGTATAATCCGTATAGTTTAGTAGGATCTAAATCCCGCGGAGGTGACCTGGGAGGCGATGGTGGTACTATCAAATCATCATCGTCGTCGTCGTCGTCGTACTCTTGTTCGTGAAAGTCCATTTGCTTTTTTCCATTTACTTCATCGTCGTCCAGATACGATGTTGATCCCTCATCAAATGTGTCCATGTAGTCATCATCATCAACATCGTTATCCGCTTCATTGCCAGCTGAAAAATAGAAATCATAACCATCTTCCCCGTCTTCGTCATCGTCGTCATCTTCTTCAACTTCTTTATCCAGTACATCGTGTTTTGCTCCATTAACTTGTTGCTCTTCTATCTCTTCGTCGTCGTCTGATGCGTATATATCGTTTCTTTGAACATGTCCCAAAAAATCGTCAAGTTGTTGTCTGTTGTTGTCATCATCATAACTACTCGAATGAGGACCTTTGCTTTCCAATCTGCTCTTAGTCAAGTTTAGCGAATTTTGTCTCACAACGGTGTTAATACTCCCATTTCGATCTTTTTGTTTAGCCAAGTGGCCCTTCTTTTGAACAAGAGTGTCATCGTTATAATGTGATGTCAATTTGGTGAGCTTGGTGTACTGACTTCGTTCTTGAAAGATTTCATTGGGACTGAGTATACTATTGTGTATTCGTTGTGCCTTTTCGTGGTCATTGTACTCATTGTAATTGTTGTTGTTACTGCTACCGTCATGAAGCATCGAGCTCAAGACATGACTCTGTATTCTTTGTCTGCCTAATCCCAGGTATTGGTTGTTGTGGACAACCGATGATGTGTTTGTTTGTTGTGAAGATGTTGATGACAGTATAGATAGTTTACGTTCCAACTCTTTCAATATCTTGTTGGTATCATCGAGGATGGTTTGATCAAAAGCAAAATCAGTAGTTTCACTGTTACTGAGGTTGGGATCTTTAGATGTATTTTTTGTAGTGGAAGTGGTCGTACTGTTGGAGGTTGAATCCTTCTCTCGACTCCTAAGCTGACTAGTTATGCTCATATGTAATATGAAAAAGGGTAAGGCACTGGAGCTAGAGCTGGGGTTGGGGTTGGGTTGGGTTCGCCGTCGGGAGCCTTGATTTGAATTTGGGTGTGGATTGGATGACTTGAATATGATCTATTGGAAAGGGTTTTTGTTTTGTCTGTCTTTTCTCTCTATCAACCAAAATCATTTAACGTGTTTGTACTGCATATACTTTTAGCTACATTGCATCATGATACACGTAAATGTATACATATACTTTTGCTACAGTTTAAGCTCTCATGCCTGTCCAGTCTGTAACGTATTATATCCACTCAGCTCAGACCAAAGACCTGGTCGATTAGTCGGGTTGTAACTTCTGTCGGTCCAGAGAGAGAGAGAGAGAGAGAGAGAAAGAGAGATATCAAGTCACGATGATTGAGCGTGTTAGACTGCCCACACTCATCTTCAGATTAGAGTACATTTAGACTTCAATGTAGACTTTCATACCTCAAATGTGTTGCAATGAGTGCTAAACTAGATCAATGCCAAATACATATGAGCCTAATTACTTCTAAACGCAATCGCCAAATTGGGCGTCGTCCAAAGTGTTGATTTTGTAGTATGGATACAAAATCAAATCTCTTTCTTTTGATATGAAGCAACAAGTCTTGCAGTGGGGGTAGCTTGAAGGGTTAAGGAAAATCAATTGGTTCCACACACACACACACACATGGTTTGAAGAAAATTGGGTACATGTAAGCCTGTGTGTAAACGCTATAGACTATGTGGAAAACACTCACTTCATCTATCAAGTTGAGATAAACTTTATTCTTGTGAAGACGCTAGGATGTTGATATCGTTATAATAACACTACTACTATAAGACAGCTATAGAATAGCTACATTTAACCTCTGTTTTGGTTGCGTTTTGTGTTTTGTGTTTTATGTTTTGTATTGTTCTCTTCATAGTTACTCTAGATGGATGTAGATTGAATTTTCTTTACTCTCTCTCTATAATTTCAAACTCTTTGAATCTTAGTGGGCTTCTTCAAGGTTGAATTTGTGCTCAATACTCGACTTGGTTACCCAAAGTTGGAGTGAGTACTCTTTGTCTAGTCAGGCCTTGTATCGGAGAGGGACAGAAGAATGTATATTTACAAACAGATGCAATGATTCTGTTCAACTCTTTTTTTCATCGGTTACCACTATTTGCCACCTAACTAAAAAAAAAATAGGGAGCCCTTTTCGTTTCCAGTCTATACCTTTAGTTTCCTTTAACCACTTCGTTTATAGCATTGGCCAAGTATTCAACATTGTTGTCATTGATTCCTGAAATACTGAATCTACCATCTTCAGTAGCATAAACACTGTAGTCGTTTCTCAATTTTATCACTTGTTCGGGTGACAATCCGGTGTAAACAAACATACCCCTTTGTTTCAACAAGTGGTCCCAGTTGTAACTAGATTTGTCCAAGTTGTCGTATAACTTTTGACGTACATTGTTTAATCTTCCAACAACTTTATCCAATTCATCCAACCATTGAGGTAATAATCCACTTGACTCGTCAAATATGACTTCAACAATCTTGGATCCGTGGATTGGTGGGGATGAGTAAATTGGTCTAATCAACTTCTTCAATTGGGATTCAATGGCTTTTGATTCGTTGGCTGATGGAGTAATGATTGAGATTGATCCACATCTTTCACCATACAACCCCATGTTTTTAGCAAAAGATTGACACAAGGCAAAAGTAGGAATCTTGTTTTCATTAGCCAATTTGGTCAATTTTCTAATCAATTCAATGTCATTGTAAGGTTTACCACTGGCAAAACCTTGGTAAGCCATATCAACAAGAGGGAAGAATTTCTTGTCTTGAACAATTTGCAAAACTTCATCCCATTGTTCATTGGTTAAGTCCATACCAGTTGGGTTGTGGCAACAAGCATGCAACAAGACAATGGAACCTTCTGGTTGTGATTGTAAAGATTGCTTCAAGTTTCCATAATCCAAGTCGTTTTTACTGGTTTCGTAATAGTTGTAAAATTCTGGTTCCAATCCAGCATCTTTGAAAACAGCAACATGGTTAGCCCAAGTTGGTTTTGGCACGAGAATCTTTTTGTTTGTGTAGAATCTGTTCAAAAAGTCAGCAATAACTCTAAGAGAACCAGTACCAGAAATGGTTTGAGAAGTGACAATTCTTCCATCATCAATCAATTTTTTACCGTTGGCATCCTTGTTTGAGTTGTTGAAGATAAAGTTCTTGACAATGGATTGGAAGTTTTTCGATCCAATAATTGCCGTATATTCCTTTTCAGTTTCCTTCTTCAACAAAATTTCTTCAGCTTTTTTGACTGATGGGAAAATGATTGGTTTACCAGAGTTGTCTCTGTAAGCACCGACACCCAAGTTAATCTTTTGGGGGTTTGAATCGTTGTTGTAAGCCTCAGATATACCCAAGATCTTGTCAGGTGGAGCCAATGGAATTTCAGCAAATTTCAAACATCTAGCAGTTGAAGATAAAGATCTTAATTGCAACAATTGGTGTTGTTGGTTCTTGATCAATTGAGTCTTGTACATTGTTCAGATTGGTAAGCGAGCCCCTCAAGTATAGTAAAGAGAAATGGCAAGAAGAATAAGCTCTCTTCAGGTAGTTGTTGTTATATACAAAGTAAAGTACAGTAAATAATTTTTCAAGATCCGTTGTGTGTCTCTCTGACGAATGGAAGTTTTCTTTTTCTTTTTTTTTTCTTTTTTGCACTCGTCTTTTGTGTATTGGCACAATTTTCTTTCTCTCTTCTCTCTTTATTTCTTTTCTTTTTTTTTTTTACAACAATATCGACACCCCGCTTTTACTTCCTACTAATTACAACAACCACAATACATTATGACACTTGACTTCTCAGTCTTCTCATACAGAACCTTAACTACTTACACTTTCTTTAGACAGCACACCAGTGTATACTCCGTCTCCCCCCTATGCCCTTGATTTGACAACTAGAGTGTTTTGTGTGCCATTTATCACATGACTCACTTTCTCTCCATGTGACAGGATACAAAAATATCAAAATTTGTTCCTAATTAATCCGCAAATTTACACAAAAAAAAAGTTTTTTTTTTTGAGAAAATCTCCACTTTCGCTGTGTAATAAACAAACAAGCAAAAAAAAATACACTCACACACTCACACACTCACTCACTCACTCACTCACTCACACTCACACTCACACATTCCTTCCTCCTCACCCAGACCCGCGTAAAGCCCTCTCTATCCTTATTTTTCAGACGGGATACCTTTAACCGTAGCGGGAACTTTAAGTCGATCGGCGATGCGTAGAGTTACAAATATATATAAATGGAAGACAACTAAGAAAAAATTAGCTCAATTTTATATACCCGATATCGGAATCAAAAACTCAAGACCTTGACACAACGTTTTTTTAACTCGAGGTCTAACACGTCCGTTAATCGGCACGCCACAGTAGTGTTAACCGCTCTCTTCTTTTCCAAGTGAAAGAATATGCATGCAAGTGTACTTGTTTTAGTTACATATCATATGATGTGTTGGAACTGTTTTGATTCTTCTTTTTTTTTTTCTCATGCCTAACATCCTCGGGACAAATAGCCACTGTGATGACAACCAATAATACATAGCATACAGCGCTCATTACCCTGCCAGACCAATGTATTACTTAGAAGACATGGCATTGAATGTGTATGTGTGTGTGTACACCATCTAGGTGCATGAGGATGCTAGTTTCTCCACTTTCGATTGCGAATTACTTCCACCTCGTTGCAGCCACTGGACACAAATGCACCAAAGATGTTATTCAAACCCCCGCTATCTGTCCCATACGAATCTTAAAGTGTCAGAAAGCTCAATACTTGACAGCTCAGCTCAGTAATAGCTCAAAATTGAGGCAAAATGATCTATACTTGGAAGGTAATCACTTCTTTCTATATTCAAGAATAGCAGAAAAATGAACAGCAGAGAGCCACAGCCTCCGCAAAGCTATTCAAATACAACCTGTCTTTTACAAATCAAATCGGATGTGAGACTTGTAGTCCAAAAAGCTGTACAAATCTTGTGTGAAAATAGGTGCAAACGTGACTCCTTATTGCAAAATTGGGTAGACTAGCTTTTCGATTCGCCAGAAAATGAGTACGATGGCTTAGTCGTCAGGTCCTATAGTGTAGCTTGGTTATCACTTTCGGTTTTGATTTCATCTGGAACTCAAATTTCCGAACAACATCAGTTCGAATCTGGTTAGGACCTTTTAAGGCAAGTTTTCCAACTGTCACTCAATTTTCGGTCCTATAGTGTAGCTTGGTTATCACTTTCGGTTTTGATTAATCAAATCAAATTTCCGAACAACATCAGTTCGAATCTGGTTAGGACCTTCAATTTTTTTTTTGTTTTTCCTTTTTAGATACATCATGCTTATAGCTTTTCTTTTGCTCTTCTTTTGGAACAAGTGTACAGAGATAGAACGCTGAGCTGTGTGCTTCTGCAAAGATCCTAGAGTCATGAGCTTGGACATTGAAAACAGGAAGATAGATCTCCCAACAAATTTGAAACAAATTGCGTGAAAAACTATATGTTTTGTATACCCTAAACTCCAGTGACTCACGGTGAGTGCAGAACAAACTACAGGCTTCAGTCATGCACTAAACTTACCTGGTGCTTTTCCTCCCCGCTTCCCTTAGTCGTTGTTGATATTCTAAAGAAACCTTGTGTTTGGTGGAACAATTTTGGTTGCAAAATTGTCGCAAAAAGTAACTGAGAGAGAAAAAGAAAAGTTTAATATGCTCATACATAATCGAAAGATTGATCGCGAACTACTAAATCATGATAGGTTTGAGTATGAAAAGAATGTTAAAGGAAATGTATTCAAAAGAAGGTTTCGATTTTGGATTCTATGACGAGAACCACCTTTCGAGTTTGGATGTGGAGAGCATTTCAAATAGAGTAGAGAAATCAACAACTGACCTAAGATTATAGAGGAACAATCAAACAAAAAAGGAGAGGCCAACTGACCATGACTTGGAGAGAACCTATATGTAACTTCAATAGACTAGATCACCCAATGCCGCTTTTGAAACGAACCATCGAATTTAAGGGGCGATACATAGAAATTTCAGGAGAGAATACAGGTTATTGTTGCTTCTTCTTGAGCGTACAACCAGAAAAACAGCCCTACAATCTAAAGCTTACTATCAAGTTTGATGCAATGTTACTCCATAAATACCGTATTCCTCCTTTGCTTTCAATATCTTTTGGTAGCTCGACCATATATAACTCTTGTTCTCATCTCTTCACAAAAGAAAAAGAAAGAAAAAAAAAAAATCAGAAAAGTCATCTAGACAGTAGTTATCGCTAACTAAACCATGATTAGGACAATCAAGCCAAAGAATGCTCGTTCCAAGAGGGCATTAGCCAAGAAGGAGGCCAAACTTGTTGAAAATACTAAATCAGCACTTTTTGTTCCAGGTTCTACTGGTAACAAGCTTCTTCATGACGCCATGTGTGATTTAATGGCTTTGAAGAAACCATTTGCAAAAAAATTTTCGAAAAAGAATGAAGTCAGACCATTTGAAGATGCTACTGAGCTAGAGTTTTTTGCTGAAAAGAATGATTCTTCTTTGATGGTGTTCTCGTCGCATAACAAGAAGAGACCAAATACGTTGGTGTTTACCAGATTTTTTAACCACAAGGTGTACGACATGATTGAGCTTTCAATAGTGAATGACCCCAAATTGATACAAGACTTCAAGAAGCTCACATTCACAATTGGCTTAAAACCAATGTTTGTTTTTAATGGACCTGCATTTGATAGTCACCCCGTATACCAACAAATAAAGTCAATGTTTATGGATTTTTATCGTGGAGAGGAAACTGATCTACAAGATGTCGCTGGGCTACAATGTATAATAGCACTCTCAGTTGGAGAGATTGAGGATTCAAACAATGACAAGGATTTACCAAACGTCCATTTCAGAGTATACAGATTGAAGACGTTCAAATCGGGACAGAAATTGCCCAGAGTTGAATTGGATGAAATTGGACCAAGATTTGACTTTAAGATTGGTAGAAGAAGAACACCAGCGCCAGAGGTTGAGAAGGAGGCTCATAGAAAGCCAAAACAATTGGAAGCAAAGACCAAGAAAAATGTCAGTACCGATTTCATGGGTGATAAAGTTGCTCAAATACATGTCGGTAAGCAAGACTTGAGTAAACTTCAAACTAGAAAGATGAAGGGTTTGAAGGAAAGGTATGATATCAGTGAAAGTGAGGAGGGAGAAGAAGAAGAAGAAGAAGAGGAGGAAGATGAAGAAGACGTATACATTTCAGACGAGGAGTATTTTGCTGATGAGGTAGAAGAGCCACAAATTAAGAAGCAAAAAGTATAGGACATTTGTATAAATGTAATATAAAGTAGTGAGGTGACAGGAATTGCGTTGTTAGTACCCCCCTTCCCCTCTGAAATTTCTTCATTGAAATTCAAGACAGGAAGAACACGAGGAAGGATTGGAAAAAAAAAATTGATTTATGAACAGACACACACATACACACACACACATATATATATACACTCTCTCACAGTTCACTACAATCGGCGGCCATTACCATCACAATGTCATCAATTTTCCAACCTCGAACTGAAGGGTTCAATGAATCAGAAACGGTTTCCGGTACATCCAATGCGGAGGAGCTCACAAAGAATAAAAACTATTGTGTATCACGATTGCCAGGTTTACCCAATGTTTTCATTACCACGTCGTTCTCAACTGCTTACTCAGATTCAGAGTCCAACTATGCAGTAGCCATTAGCGATGGATCCATCTATGTGTGGTGCTACAAGTCAATTGATTCATCCCCCTTTGCAATCCAATTTCCTGTTGACAAGCAACAGTTCAAGTTGCCAATGGCCATTTTGACTCGCCCGGCTAGTGGGACAGACCAAGATCCAGGGCTTTTGATGATCGACTCAATTACTGGACTTGTTAAGTTTTATGAAAGCGTCCAGCATGCTCCAACCTTGGGATTGATCAACGACAAGTCTTTGGAGTTGCAATTGCACCTTTATCCCAACGAATGCGTAACCTTGGTGGAAAATGTCGAACCAGCTGGAGTAGCCATCGCAACTTCTCAGCAAAGGTGTATTCTTATCTCGCTTAGAGACTACAAGAGTAAGCCACAATTGTCATCGATAGAATTGGCCAATCCACGCAGGGGGTTGTTTTCGAAAATCTTTAGACACAATGAAGGCGATATTGTGGCAATAAAATCGATTAAAGCTGAAAGTGACGACGTCTTGCAAACCATTCTTATTTTAAATTCAGCCGGAACAATACACTCAGTGAAGTATTATTTGCTATCCTCACTGACGGCTTCATACATCGACGAGTCCTCCTCATTCAAGCAAACATTGACCATGGACCCAGATGCCTACCCTGGTAGAGTGAGTACGACCGAGTTTTTAGACGTTTGGCCAATGAGGGATGATAAATACTTTCTTGCCTTGGTGCGATCAAGTGGTGCATTGTTGTTGGCAACATTTCGTGCAGATAAGTCAGGAGCGCTATACTTTGGCTCTCATAATTTACATGCCGCTGCTGACAATGCAGCAACTCCTCGGCTATTCTTACCGCTGCCTTGCAAAACAGCTTTTGTTATTGTTGGTAACTCAGTGATTATGACTGATTTGGATACGACTTATATAGAGCCAAAGGACACGTTCACATACACAAAACCACGTTGGGAAGACGTCATCCGGTTCAATCCAGAGGCAAAACTTATTGGATATGGGTATGAAAATCAGAACACGAATACAAACCCCTCCATTATAGTGATTACCGAAAACTTTGGTGTTTTGAGGGTGGAAAAGTTTCCGGAAATGTCCAAAAAAGAGACCCCGTACGATCCAGCTCAGCTTGTTAAATCCAATATTGAGCAAGCGATATTCTTTTCTGATTCAAAGGCTATTTCATTTGATTTGAAGCAAGATGTCGATAGATCTGTTGTACATCGTGCCGTCGCTTCCATCATAAAGGAAATTTTGAGCTCAACATCGCTGTATTTGCCCGATACGCTTCCAATGACAACAGATTTGACTCAGCTCAAGTTGAATGCTTTCAAAGGATTAGTTGTATATTGCCAAAGAAACTTTGCCGATGATCCTCAAATGATTGCTGGGGTGGTTACAAATTTGGAAAAGGCGAATGTTGCTTTGAACTTGTGGGAATATCTTGAAACGAATAGGCCGTACTTGGAGGTATTTGAAAGGGTTGTACCTGAACCCAGAATATTTTTCAAATCAGAGATTGGAAATATATCAGAAGTGTTGGCATCTTTCCTTGATCAACTATCGGCAACGGGACTTTCAACTTCTCATTTGGTGCTTAAAACCATTTACGATGGTGCGTACTTGAATAGTGTGAAATACAATCAAGACATTGGCAAGTCTTGGTTGTTTGAATCCGACTTACTCAAAAATATCGAGTCACAATTTACTCAAGATTTTGTTATGGGTAATAACAGCGACAAAGATGCTGCCTATGGTATCGTTGAGATCTTGGACTATTTTTATATCAATGCGATCAGGTTTACAAAGGAGAAGAGAATTGAAGGCGAATATCAAGAATACAGCAAATTATACAATGAAAGAAAAGACGGGTGGACTTCTGCCTTGTTGCGATTGGGTCTAGTCGATGAAGCGAGGGTCATTGCTGAAAAATACCACGATTTCGCGTCTCTTGCAAGAGTATTGGACATAGAGAGTGAGACGACAGCAAATGAAAATTTGAACTACGGGAGATACTTTGAAGAATATGGCTATCCATTTGCTGCTAGTGTTTACGAGTATTTTATCAAGAATGGCAAAATCCAGGAATTGTTGATGCGGTTCTCCAACTACAAGCACTTTCTTTTACAATTTTTCCAAGAAAATCCCAAATTGACGTCCAATGTTTCTTGGATACGATACTTGATTGATGAAGATTTTGCACAGGCATCAAAAGCATTGGCGTTGGCCGAGTCATATAATGCTGAACTGATTGATAATCAATTGACACAACTTGCTTTGGGTAAGTTGGCAGCACGTGCAGCTGGTGCGCACACGGAGGAAAGGTATGATAAGGAATTGTTGAAGGTGCGTTACCAAATCAAAATTCGCAATGCAGTTGCTGGAGATGGAAGAATTGCTGCCATTACACAAGCCAATTTTGTTAAGCAATTTATAAATTCAGGTATTGACAAATCCGAATCTGGGTCCCTAGCAGCGAATGTGTTCGATGCATTGTCGAGTAACCATCGTTTGCCTGAATCGCTACTTATCGAATTGCTAACTATTATTGATCCCAAGTTCTTGAACAATGAAGGATTCTTCTATGCTTTGAACGTGGCACAAACGTTTTCTAATAAGGAGTTTACTCATGAGTTTGTCGATATTATTCTATTGCGCCTATTAACATTAGGAACCGAATTTACGCTTAGAGTTAGTGGCTCTGACCAAGTGGTGAAGCATCAAGTTGAATCAAGTATTTTGTTCAAAACACTACTGAGACAACCCAGTGTCATTTCCCAATTAAACCAGCTAGTCGAGACAGTTGAATCCAATGGTAGCTTGAGTCATTCTGTGTCCAATTTCAACAAGGGCTTACTCGATGAGTTGAAGAAACGCCTCAACAATCAGTCATTCAAGGAATGGGTGCACTTGGTTGAACAGCAAGTCAAGACTAGCTTGAAATAAGTAGACGTATGTTGAAACTGATGATGAAAACATTAGCTAGCACCACCACTTTCTTCTGAATTTTCTTCTTGTTGTTCTTCGTCTACGATTTCCTCTTGTTCATTGTTGTCGCTTTCGTTTAAATTTATCCTAATTAATGGCTCAGGGTACGCGTCTCGATCCACACTTGGGCCATTTGTCAGCTTCAACAAACATAACGAGGCCAATGATATAGACTGGATTATGCGTTGCCAGTTTGAAAGGATCAAGGCAACACTACTTGTTCCATCTCTCACTGTTTCCAATCGGTCGCCAATCAGTTCCAATTCGTTGGCTAATTCGTCAGTTAATGTTTTGAATTCTCGTAGGAGTTCCAAATTAGCTCTCTTTTCAGCAATCTTTTGATATATAGCAGTGTTTTGTCTTGCCATGGTGAAGAACAAGTAGACAAGGAAGATTATGTTTGGGTTAAGGTGTTGTTTTGCCGTGATACAAATTGGTGGCTACAGATAAATCTCTTTCTCTCTCTCTCTCTCTCTATATATATATATATATATATAGTCTCTTCAAGGTATTGTTTATGTAGTTTTATTTTTTATTTTTTTTTTCTGTTGTTTCTTTGGAGTTGTTTACACTTTCGAGAAATGCATCTTACACGTCCTTCCGCCTCCCCACACCCGTCAAACAAAGTTAGTTTCGCAAATGGCAAGGAAAGCAGATCTCCTAGGACTGGGAGGCGATTCATCAAGAAGATCGACCATCCACAATGCCTCTTCACAGACAGTGCCTCAAGATATTTCCCATGAAGGTGAACCTCCAACTTCATCACAATTGCAGCAGTGCATGACTCAAAACAAAGTTCTTACTCGACGCAATGGGATCTTGTCATTGCGAATTACCGAACTTGAGGACAAAGTCACCCAGTTAAATGATGAGATTTCTAGACTTCGGAAGAATGACTCACTCAAGACGGCACTAGAGTTAGTGGAGAAGAATTTGGTAAACAGCTTCAATGTTAGTATGAAGCAATTGCAGCGAATACGCGTCGATAATGGGTTGCTTTTCAGTGGAGACGAACCCTCAGCTGCTAGTAAGGGATTGAAAAATGTCTTTGCAAAGAATGACAAAATACGACCGCTGATGTCAAGACAAGCGTCAGAAAAGGCACCTATTACAAATTCAAAATCGCCAATGACTTCATCTGCCCGGAAGAATGAACTTGGTAATCTAAAAAATCGGGGGTCTATCGAACACCAAGCATTTGAAATTCCACAATTTTTCAAGAGAGCTGACGAGCATGCATTCACTGATAAGTTTCTGGCAATTTCAGTGGATGAACTGGATTCCGAGGATGTCTCGGACATGAGACAGGTGGGTGTGTTTGCCAAGGAACGGACAATCGTCGTTGATGAAGATAGCGACAGTAGTGTCTGTGGTACAGAGAGTCCAAATAGCCCAACAACGAACGATGTGCTTGGAGAACAAATGGAGAAGGGTGAAGTGGACAAAAGTGACTTCTTGACCGAGTTTGGTCGCCATGAATCGTCGTTCGTGGTGGAATCAGAAACTAGAAAATCAAACGGCGGTGAAGTTGAGTCAACGCCGAAAGCAAGAAAGCTGACATCTGCAATACCTGATATGCTGGATTACGAAGCGCTTCTAGATAGCTTGAAATGTAATAGCAACTTGAAAGAGACAGGGAAGGAAGACAACGCTGCAGAGGGAGCGAGGGCAGAGGTAGCTATCATGGATAATAAGACAGGGAGAAATGTGTCAAAGCTGAGAACGCGCAGTTCCAAGAGGCTTGAATCTAAGCTCAACCTTGAAGATGAAGAGATAACGGAGAAGAGTAATGACAGGTGTAGTCTGGGCGATGAAATTGACAAAGACAAGAGAACCGAAACAGAGAGAATACCTAACGAAACCATTAGTGGACGAAGTGGATTGAGATCTGCGTCACCAAAGCTGAGTCTACCTGCTAATTCCAAACAGGAGAGACAGAAGAAAATACAAATCAAAGAGGACTCACCAACAGTTGGCTCAGAGGGCGACGTACATGATCAATCTATTGAATCAAAAGCGGGTGAGAAGGATATTTCACGTACAAATGCACATGAAATCATCGAATTGGATCAATCTCCGGACAGACATGCGGAAAACAATGCAATATCAGGCATCAAGAGTGGCAAGAGAAAACCACTCTCAACTTTGAGCAGCAACGTCAGCAAACCGTCTAAAAAACGTAAACAAACATCTCGAAGCAAGCACTGGGATCTTGATATATTTGATCTTCGAAATGCATAGAGGAAACAGATTATATTGTTAAATAGGTCGGAAAAAAAAAATATAAAGTAAGAACTGCACAATTTGAATTGAATCTGAATTGAACAGACATTGTAGTATAACAACATTTATCCAAATGTAGCTAACCTCCAATTTAGACACTCATTTTCATTTTGATTGCAGGATGAGGCTCATATCCAATAATCTCGAAATCCTCAAATCTAAAGTCATCAATCGTCTTGATTTCTTCTTTTCTGTCTTCCTTGATAACCAATTTTGGAAACCGCTTTGGACTTCTTGTCATTTGTTCTTTCAATGCATCGATGTGGTCTAGATATACATGAGCATCACCTAGAGTATGAATAAACTCACCACAGTCCATGTCTACTATATGAGCAATCATTTTTGTGAGCAATGCATATGATGCGATGTTGAATGGAACACCTAAGCCCATGTCACATGATCTCTGATACAACAAGCAAGACAACTTCGGTCTACTCGATGATTTTGCTTGTTTGGTGGTGTTTGCAACCGGAGTTTGTTGGCCGTGAGCAGCTGGAAAACTCACATAAAACTGACAAAATACGTGACATGGAGGTAATGCCATTAATGGGAAGTCAGGTGGGTTCCAAGCTGACATGATTATTCTTCGATCGTAAGGGTTCGTCTTTAATTTTTTGATGACATCTTGCAATTGATCAAATCCTTGTCCCGAGTAGTCAGTATCGCAGTCTTGATACTTAGCTCCAAAATGTCTCCATTGAAATCCATAAACGGGCCCCAAATCTCCTTCACGACGATGGTTCAACCCCAAGTTATCTAAAAATTCTCGCAGACCATTACCCTCCCAGATTTTAACACCCTTTTCGCTCAAAATTTTGGCATCAGTAGAGCCTGCAATAAACCACAAAAGTTCATGGATTATGCCTTTGGAGAAGACTCGTTTAGTAGTGAGCAAAGGGAAGGTGTCATTGGACAAATCAAAACGCAACTGTGGTGGGGCAAAAAGTGACTTGGTACCGGTTCCTGTTCTGTCTGGTCTAAATTCACCTTCGTCAATAATTTTTTGACAGAGATCTAAGTAAGCCTGTTCTGCTGCGTTGATAGGGATTGTCATTGTCGATATTGACGTTAAATAAGTTGTTGTTTGTTGTTTTAGCGTGACGCGTCTCTCAAAAGAGAAAATAATACATTTTGATTTTTTGTTTGTCCATTCAATGCCCGCTCCCTTCCAGTTGTTATGAACACTTACCTTAGTACACAAGTATACGCATGGGGCACCCTTTAAGCAGAGGCAATAAGGGTGCTCCAGCCTTAGGAATATACTTGTTTAGGCACATCTACAGAGGGAAATGACTTGTGTGTCACGAGTGGAATCACACACAAGGAAGAGACGAAGGACACTAGAAGCACATTACAGCACATTACAGCACATTAAAGCACATTACAGCACATTACAGCACATTCCACAAAGTTGGCATTCGCTGCTGAGCTGTATTCGTCTAATAGGATGCTTCAACCTCAGGTAACTGCATTCAAAGTATTCATAATTACGGGTATGGGTATATTTATGGTACCCTCTTCACAAGCAACTACAGATGCCACACCATCACTTAACGCACCACCGGCAGGTTCAGACACTGACCGGCAATTAAAGACCACCTCAGCCGCTATTTCCATTTGCCGGGAAAGGAAATAAAAAAACTAGCCATGGAAATTCTCAAAAACTGGATGATGGAGTGACCACACCTACTTTCAAGTTGTCGCATGTAAGTCAGAATCACGTACGAAGGATTCACGAGAAACAATGCACTTTGAACAAGAGATAGTGTCGCTCAAAGCATTAAAAGAATTGTGTCAAGCTATATTTGAGCTTTGTCTTTGAGGCTTCGCCGATACCCATTAATCGATCCTGAAACGTGCTTGATGAACACCAGAATCAAAGGATTGAAGCATTTCGACGTGGCAAAAGACTTGAACGCATCGAAACTTGGTCCAGCGTAGGGTCTAAGACGGAAGAGGATTTAGTCGAGGGGTCGAGACACATAAGAATATAAGAGTGTATTTTGCAATCATCACTTCAGGGAGTCCTAGGTGGGTTTTCATGCAACCAGTCGTCTGAGAAGTCAATTTCGTACACATAATACACACCATTGCAACACATCACAAGTCAAGATTACGCAACATGAAATACAGGCTCATCAATGATTTGCAGCCAAAGACTCATGGATGGAACGCCATTGGCTAACAAAACGTCAAGATGATTTCTGCACAGCTCAAACCAAAATTGCATATGAACGATACTCATTTTGTCAATGGATGATGGTCTGCGCGATGTTTGAGACAAGCACCGGCGTGATTACTACCGATTGGGGGACATCGTGACGAGTGCTCTGACCCTCCTTTTAGCAGCTTGAGGCAACTATAGAGCAAAGAGCATCCAGAGAAGATGAGCATGCTCGAAGTGTTGATGTATTTCCACCAGACGTGCTGTTGTGAGGTAAAGGATCTCCGGTTCTCGACTTGAAGTCTCATCCACAACACACACAGGATAAGAGATGAAGAGAAGGCTACAAGAGAGCAAGGAAGAGAAGCGCGGAGGTGAGAGGATGATCAACTATTAATCTCATATTATAAGTAAACACACACATCACAACATCAAGTAGCATCTGCACGCTTAAAGCAGCTCCACATCAGCCATAAGCAACCAGCATCCATCAACTCGCAGCAAGCCGAAAACACAACACCATCAAAGCGAGGAAAAACCCCAACAAAACCAATTTGCAACTCAAAAGACAACCGAGGCAGACGAAGCAGCATATCAAATAACGTTTATTTTATCTTTTTTTTTTTTTTATAATTTGAATCTTTTCATATGTTTTTCTTCCTTTTTTTTTTTCGTAACGTTTTTTATCATTATAACATCCCTTCAATGAATGGTGGTAACAAAGAGCATCAGGATCAACATGCAGAATAGAAGGCTCAATCAAGGCAGTAACGAAGACATGCCATCTAATTGACTGAGAACTCCTCCCTCTCTGTATTGTTTAAAATCCTCATGTAGATCTTGCATCAGGATCCATCTCGCAAATTTCATCACAATCAACATGCAGAATAGAAGGCTCAATCAAGGCAGAAACGAAGACATGCCATCTAATTGACTGAGAACTCCTCCCTCTCTGTGTTGTTGGAAATTCTCGTGTAGATCCTGCACCACTATCATCTCTGGGACTTCTGAAGTTTTGTCGTGCTACCTCCCGTTACTTTTTGTTCCATCTCCTCTTCTTTTTGGTTTTCTTGCTCGCAGATTTGGCGCTGGTATCTTCTTCTTTTATGGCATCCACGCCATTTGGTTTTTCAGCACCAGTGACATCATTATTCCCCGCTTGGTGGCTGTCACCCTCAACCAACTGGTTTGATTCAGCGAATGGACGGAAGTCAGCAATTACGTCAATTATTTCTTTGATGTGGGGTAATAATTGGCTGATTATCGCCTCCAACTGTTTGTTTATTGTTATCACGTATTTCATTCCTCCTTTGATTAAGTTGTGATACTTCCGAGTTGACTCTCCAATCGCGGCAAAGTACTTCATGATATACTTTGCCACTTCAATCTCTCGGTCGTGGTAAAAATCGGGGTGGGTTAACATTGAAGCGGAAATGCAATAAATCGACACTATCATGACATAGAAATCAGCTTGTAGCTGTTTAAATGTTCTTATTTTGTCATTCATCGAGTCAGACTCGGTTTGGTTTAGCGAAGCAGCCAATCTGGCAATATTTTTCTCACACTTCGTTTTCCGTGCCCAATTCAATCTAGCAACAGTTCCAACTTCGCTTTTAATAATGATGCTAGGTGGCTCCCGCTCTGTTGGCGATTCACCTTGCCAGGTCGCAGGTAGCATGCATTTTATTTGCAAGAATGCATCTTTTGAATTGTTGAATTTGGTGATGGCTATTGTGGAAGCCATCTTTTCAAAATCACCGCGTTCACGGGTTGGAAGTTGATTTGACGTCACCTCCTGCACGTCATTCTTGATCAATGGTAAGTCAACCGATACCTTGGTGATTACAACAGTGTTTTCCTTCTCCAACTCTTCTTCCGGGGGACTTGTTGGATAAAATAACCCCCACCTGATACTTTTTTGCCGGCGATGAAGTTTTTCCATGTCACCTCGCGGGTCTTCTTTACACCGCGCATAGAAGTCCATTTCGGAGAAACACTTTGCACTTTCGATCGTCGTGTTTCTTGTCAATATACCATGTAGTTGTTCCAATTCACGCTGGAAGTCAATACCGAGTTTCGATGGCATCATCTTATTTGAGTCACAACAGATGGGATTAAGCAACATGTTGTCCAATTTGCACAACACTCGCCCAGCAAAATACCCCCCCTTATATTTCAAAAATTGGCTCAACAACGTCTTGTGAGCCTCAGCGTCGTTATCAAAAGTGAGGACAAGATCGTCCGCACGCGCTGATTCAAAAGGTGGGGAAGGCTTCCTCCAACAAGCCTCAAAGATTTGAGTCGGTAAACGACTCGTGGTGGGCCACGCAGCTGGTGGTGTTGCTTTTGGTGTTGTTGTTGATGGTGGTGTTGGTGTTGGTGTTGTTGTTTTTGTTGTTGGCGCCTTTGCTCGTTTTGTTGGCGCCTTTGCTCGTTTTGTTGTTGGTGCTGTTGCTTTTGTTTTTGTTGTTGTTGGTATTGTTGCTTTTGTTGGTGATGCAGCAACATGATCCTCTAGGACGATTTTAAAATCAGGGCCATAGAGGTCAATATGTTCTTCTGGAGTGAGGCAATCGTGCCAAATGACGACAGAACTGTACATAATGATGGGGAAGAGGAAAGAAGAAAAGAAAGAGGTGTATAGGAAAAGCTTGAGGGGGTTTTCCAATTTGCATTTTTATAGTGCAGAGGGTGTTGCAAAACTTTCTATGCGGAAGAGGGGATTAGTCTGGAAGCTGTTCTATATTCAGAATTATATGTGTACTATCATATGACTAGGTTACGTAGCAGTATATAGGTTGTGATTGCATCCTTCAAGTGGTGATTTACTTCTTTCGGTCTAGTTGATTGTGTTGTATATTGTCTCGTAGAGTGTTGGTCAATCCTTGGTGTGTAAAATCGGCATGAAGACAACAAATTTGAGTTTTCAAAACTATCGGGCTTGTGGACATCAGAAGGTGAGCTGAATGTGATTGAATACACGAGTCCCAGTGATTGTAAATGTATTTACGGCGCTTGAAGTAGTAGCAGCTGTTGCTGCTGCTGTTGTTTACACTTTCTTCATTGTTTCGTTCTGCAACTTTGCAACCAACTACAATTATAAAGATTTCGCTTTTCCAGCCCCTTCAGTCTTACACACACACACACACACACACTGAATACAACAGCAACAGCTACTACAGCCACAAACACAGAGACGTATCAAATGCAGAAAT